ATGATGGAAAAGAACTCCTTTGCGATTGGCCAAAATCGGACGTAAAAAAAAAAAAATAATGAAATACTTTTTGGTTTCTAGTTTTTATGGAACCGCAGATCATATATTTTTGGAAAAAGTGCGGAAAAACATTATAGTCACTATATAGTGATATTAGTGTTGGTCAAGTAAATTTCAATTCATTATTTTGGTAATAGATGGCTAAAGCGATCAAGCTAGTTGACGTTGGATACTTCATATTTTGTGCAACAATAAAAAATTAAAGAGAGAAGTGTTGATCACTTAATTCGGTGGTGGTTGAGCGCATGTCAAAGAGGGAGAGCAACAAAGAGAAGATACGCTCCACACTACAATATTTCATTGATACAGCAAAAGGGCAAGTCTGGCAGCTGAAAACGTGAAGTGTTTATGATTCTGCTAGCAGTCAATCATGCACAATTTAGGTTTCGTCAATTCGCAGTGTTTTTTATGTCAATGATACTACTCTGTGTGGAAGGCCAAATGTCGAAAATGACTTTTCCTCACGACATTGTCGATCTCCCATCCATCGACTGAAAAACTGCATTTTTGAGCACTCCAAACATAAATGTGATATGTCATCCACCGCTTGATCCTGAGTTCTTTCTATTCTCGTGTGTAAAAAAGCGACAGAGAGGCCCATTTTTTACGACACCTGAAGAGGCGACTCAATCATTCAGAACGTATATTTTGGATTTATATCAATCCGGTTGGCAAATGTAATTCGACAAATGGTTCAAGGCATACAAGATTGTACAGATGAAGAATATTTTGAAAACTAATAAAGAAATTTTTGATGTATTATATTTGTTTTTTTTTCTAATCCCGAAATATGAAATCTCAGTACAAAAAAAAAGAAACCGAAAAAAGCAGAAATAAATATTTGTACGCCCTTTTTCCACGATCCACCAACAAATTATTTTCAATATCTTTCTCTCGAGACGGTGCAGCGAAAAGGTTGTTCCAAGATAGTCTAGATTGTTCACTATTTTGAAGATGTGTCTATAAGTTGTGATGACAAAGCAGGAACCCACCTTAATAGGAGACCCTTGTACTTTGAAGGATAGTAGTTCTCAATCCAAGCCCATTATTCGCAAGTTTCAATCATACAGCAACCATTCAACAGACCATATTGAAGTCAGGTCCTTAAAGATGATAAATGATACTGAGCGCGGCTCCCGCGAACATTCTTAAAACTTGTTCTAATGAATAACCTTGCTATCTTAAATATGCCAGCGACTAACATATGCGGTTAGTTAGTTTTTTAGTAAGATTTTAGAAGTCATAATGCCTTTAACTAGATTAAATGAACTTCAGTCGAAAGCAATTTTACTAATACCATTAAATGAAAAAAAAATCCCACTTAATTTATTCACTTAAATACGTAAAAAAAAACCCAGAGCGCATATGAACTTATGAGTATGTCTGCAAGATAAAAGTACTCAAACACACAACTTCACATTTGTAAAAGCATCACTGCTAACGAAGTCATTTTAGTGCGCTCATTTGCGTTGCGCACACACTAGCAATTAATTCAATGCTTAAATCTGAGACAAAATGAGTGGGTGACTGAATGGGTAAGAGAGGGTATGTGAGCGGCAAGAAAGAAGAGTAGTAGTGGCGCAGTCTGTAAGGAAATAAGGTGGCAGAAAGGCTTGTATATATACTTTGTTGCTTGGAAATTTACTTATTTGCAAACATAACTCGGAATGTGTGAGTATGTGTCACTAAAGCTGTCGCAGCGCATTAAAGCGCATATGTTAAATTACTACCGAAAGCACAAATTCCACACATTAATTTGCACACACATTTATATACAAGCAAAGGAAGAAATTCTTTGAATGTAACATACATATTAGAGTAGTATAAAAATATATAATTAAATTTTTTTTAACTTTGCGCTATAAGTTGGTAAACTAAGCTTTTTTGTATATTTTAATCAATTAATACAATAAAATAGTAATTTAATTCAATTTAATTAACTATTTTATTTTATCATTTATTAAATTAACCATTTTTTATTTAACATACCTTTTCTTCTTTTTACTGTTAGCTAATTTTTTTCTATTTTTTGTTGTTTTAATTTCATTCATTTTTTTATAATTTATTTTTTTTTTTATTTTGTATTATTTTAATTTATTTTATTTTAATTATATATATTTTATTTAATTAAATTAAATTTATTTTATTTTATTTTATTTTATTTTATTTTATTTTATTTTATTTTATTTTATTTTATTTTATTTTATTTTATTTTATTTCCTTATATTTTATTTGATTTTTTTCCACCCTAATGTTTACACAAATTTCTTCTCGATCAACTGAAACTGGAAAATCTGTGCTCATTTCTTAATTGATTCAAATATTCGGTAGGTAGGAATAAGGGAATGAAATGTAATATAAGGAAAGCCAACATTTTTGGAAAATCTGAGCCAAATATGTGGCTAATGAACTCCACAAAATATGTTGAGCTTAGATATATAGCATAGATGATAGGATATGTACACACATAGAGAGGTGTAAACTTATAGAAGCCATCAGTTTGTTTGAATGCCAACGTGTGCCACGAATATAACAGCACAAGCTACGAGTATAATGTCCTCGTTGTGGTAATTAATTGAGTATTTTTATTGCATAGCTTGAGGCGTATGAACTGTTTTAGGGAATATATGAGACAACTTTTACCTGACTCTGACAAACTGGAATTGCGTGTTAGTGGTAATAAGCTTAATTTTATGATAATTAGTTAATAAAATTGATAAGATTCTAGAAATAAGTACATATATTTAACTTCTCCTGCTTAAATCAGTATCTTAGTTATGTAGAAATATTTGATATTAAAGATATTGGCATGTATAAAATTGCATGGTCTTGCTTGTGATGCAATTGCTTTAATAGGAATGCTTACGTTTTGCTCTTTGAAAAGAAATTTCATTTCTAATTCAATAATCTTCCTCTCCTATTTCAAGCGCAGAGCAAACAAACAAATGCTTTGCAAAGGATATGGTCACATCCAGCTTACTATGCCACAAAAAAACACGGCCCACATACATTTGAGTATATATCCCAGACAGTAAATTGTACTCGCTACAAGATTATTCGAAACTGGTATGTCAAGAAATACGAACTAAGCAGGAGAAAGAAAAACTAAAATAAAACAAAAAAAATATACCATAAAATAAATATAATAGAAATAAATAAAACTGAGGAAATAAAAGTTAAATAGAAAAAATAAAAATCGTTAAAGAAAAATAGATGAAAAAATAAGAATTATTAAATAAAGTTAATTACATATAAAATTAATATAATTAATATTAAAATTTTATAAATGAAATGAATAAAATAAAAAAAAACAAAAATAAATTAAAACAAAACAATACAAAACATAATTAAGGGTACTAAAATCGAGGAAAATATATTAAAATAAATCAATTTAAATGAAATGAAGTAAAATAAAATTAATTAAAAAAATAAAATATAATAAAATAAATTAAAATAAAATTGAATAAATAAAATAGTATAAGTATTATATACATAAAGTAAAATAAAAATAAATGAAATAAAATAAAATTAAGCAAAATAAGATTTATTAAAAAATATAAAACAAATTAATATCATATCAAATAAAATTCAATAAAGTAAAAAAATAAAATAAAATAAAAAAAATAAAATAAAATATATTAAAATAAAATAAAATAAAACAATATAAAATAAAACAGAACAAAAGAAAAAACAAAGTCAAATAAAATAAAATAAAGCAAAATAAAATAAAATAAAATAAAATAAAATAAAATAAAATAAAATAAAATAAAATAAAATAAAATAAAATAAAATAAAATAAAATAAAACAAAATAAATTAAAATAAAATAAAATAAAATAAAATGATTTAAAATAATTAAAATAATATAAAATAAAACAAAATGAAAAGGATATAATAAAATATAATTACTATTTTAATTAAATGAGAGTAAGAAATTAAACATTTAATTAAATATTTAAATAAACGAGATCGTAATTTAATTAAATTAGGTAAGAGAAAAAGAAATGGCATTTTTGAATGAAATATTTATATATTTTACAATACCGTTTAGGAGTTTTTCGGACCAGTATAATTCCAGCTAGTAAATTTTGGCATTACAACAGATATGTATCAGCGTGTCTGTCTCACTTCTTGTTGAAGCAAAACAAATATAAAGTAAGCAACCACGCCTAGTAAAAGAACACGTACCAAAGTCCAAAGAGCAAACAAAGCTACCATAGATGCATACTAAGAATGCCTCTAAGGTAACAACGGGGCAAGGATGTAAACAGATGTTGAGTCATTGATTGACAAAAATGACGCGACAAGACAAAAACCGAATGGAAACTGCCATAGGCATAGAATCATTTCAGACATGAAAAGAAAAAATGGGATTGTAAATGTACACAAAACTAAGGGCTGTCTACATCAGAGCTTAGCTACGAAGGAGTATATGTACAATCATATGTACGATGTATATAATGTATGTGTTGTATATAAATGAAAAGCAAAGACGTGAATTGAATCGAATTGAATTGAAATGATTGAAAGCAAGTGAGTGTTGGCTGTTTTCTTTACACGGCGTGGTAAATATATCAAAGTTCGGTCGTTTTGTACCACACTTCAACTAGTCCCTTAGCAACTCTGTACGAAGTTGTTTCGAACGAATTCTAATCTGCCAAATGTGCCATTAACGAAGCTTATAGAGGTTTTTATTATTTAGAATATATTTTATAAACAAAGTGATCTTAGTCGGGTATGAGAAATTTTATTTCTTTTTTCTCACTTTCTTACTATTTTTTTTTTTTTTTGATGAAAAAAGCATATTCTACATCTTTAGTGAAAGTGGTACTCGAATTTTTAGACTCTTGTCGAAAATTTTCAAAAAGTTTAATGCTTTAGAGATTCTTCTTGAACTTTTTGATTTTTATATATTTTATTCCTTGCATTTACTGCACATACCTGCCACAACGGTTTCGGAACGCTGCAGTCGCACCAATACGTGCTCGATTAGTCCGACGTCTGTGCATGCCTGCAAATTGCGCACACTCTTGCGTAGAATAGCAATGAACACACTCCAGATCTCAGCCTGTAAGAAAAACGAAAAGGAGAACAAAAGAGAAGAAATTGGTTAAATAAACATGCCAGCACAAGAATCAAGGTTTGAATAAGTAAGAAGTTTGAAGTAGGCAGAAAAAAATGGGTGTGGTAAGATTGTCGTTAGAGCGTCAGTATTTACTGCTGTAATTGAAGTTAAATGCTTTTTTCTTAAATTAATCAAATATATTTATTTTATATTGTTTATGGACTTATTCGCATCCACTGCAGATAAATACTTGATAAATCTTTTTAATTTTTTACATTTTATTGGGTTTGGTCTAAAATTTCTTGTAAAATCTTTGACAGCATTTTAAACATTTTTGAAATAAATATTTTTACATAAATATTTTTCACGTATAAACACTTTTTATACATAAGTATATGACGACTGTTCCAAAGAAAAGGTGAGTTTTTAATTTTTTTAAATTTAATTAAATTTGATTTATTAATCAATACCCAGTTGGAGCACATTGGCCATCATAAAAAAATTTTATAATCGAATGTACACAGATCACGAATATTTAAAATTCAGCTTTCCTTTTGAACAGACCTCGTAAAATACGATGAAATAATAAAATTTGAAATCTGAAAAGTCTGACTTGTTTGTAATCACCTAACCATGACCGTTCCATTAGTTATGCAAATTAAACTGATGGATGATTAATGAATAAATATGTGACGAATTTACCTCAATGTTTCCCTCTATACTTGACTGCACTGCGTTGACAAACTTTTCACCACACACACACACACACACACACACACACACACACAGAAATAAATGTTGTAATGGCATAAATAACTAAAAATTATTCTCGATGATCCTGGCGCTTTGTAAACGCTGAAGCGATTTTTGGCCAAACTCTATTATGTGATCTATGTCTTAATTTATTTCCAACAAAATTGGGAGTCCTTAAATGCCTCTGAATGGCAGAGAGATTTTTATGCGGAGCTTTTTATTTAACATACAAAAATACACTCCGAGGGGCTGACGTTCCCGTCCATTGGGGCGATTGCAGTTAGAAAAATTAATTTTATATAATTTTGCATTTTAGACGAACCAAGACTCTGGACCCTGGCTTAAAATTCCTCCTGCGAGTTAAGGGCTCAAGAATTTACCAATTAGGCATGCTGCGACGGTCGGATCTTCATATGGGAACGATCCAGATTGTTATCTTGCCAAGGACTATCACTCCCGCTACATTCCCCGAAAAGTACTTTTGGGAATATTTTTACGGTTACAACAATAACGAAAACCCTGGCTTCAATACTATCCACACGCCGATTGAGGCAACCATTATTTCCACAAATTAGGAAGGGAAGCACAAAAGTTACTTCAGTTAACATCCCAGCTTGATGTAGAGTACGGCCAAACATCAAAGGTCTGCTATATGAGAGGTGTGTGTATTTCAGCCTTAGTTTGGTCGAAATTTAGTAGCCATTGAAAGCAGGAATGCCATGATATATGGATCTTAAGTCGATCTGGGGGGAGGGAGGATAAAAATAAAGTCTGTTGAAAAAAACCTAGTTGTAACCCAATTGCGTACTTACTCATACTCAGTCCTAAGTCCAGAGGCTAACAGATTTAGATACTTTATCAAGCAAACGTGGTTGTTGCCACACTCAGACTAGTGATTTACCTGTTCAAAAAATTTAATTTTATAGTTCGATTTACTCGAAATTTAATACCCAAGTGTCTTACTGCTAAGATTAACAGGAGGACTACCCTTTACACCAGGAAGTGGATCAAGGACTGACTGACTGATTTGGAAAAAAATCGTATTTACAGTTCTTTTTACTTAAAACTATTTCTTTATGGGTAGTGAGCTCATCTATTTAACAAATTTTAGTTAGATTTTAAGATGATATGAGTTAAGTTGAGTTGAGTTGGTGCGGTTGCTGGCCCCTAACAGCGCACTTAGGCCGATAGGTCCATTGTGATACCGCTGAGGCAACTGCCTTCACCTTCGCAGAGGATCGAGCCATTTCGTGTGCAACGAGATTTCCAATTTCCACTAAGGCTAACTCAGCGAGACAATCGAAGAAATGTTTTCCGAAGAGCTTGTATCGCACAGATGTTAATGCAGAAGTAGTGCCCGATAGCGTCCTCCTCTTCTTCGTCCCTACAGCTTTAAACAGTGGCCTGTTATTATGCCAGTTGTTCCCTTAAGGTAGAACCTGTCTAAAAGGGTAAAATGTCTTGATTTTTACGCTTTCAACTTCGGCCATAACTGTCTGGTTACATCATGATTGATCTCGTTCTGTCATCTTGAGTCCTGTATATCACTGCATCGTGTGCACTCGGCGACTTTCATGATTGCAAAGAGCTCCGCTTCGAAGACGATGTAGTAGTCCGCTAGTCTCATGCTCATATTTCAATGAGGTCTTTGGAGAGTGAATTCCGCAGCCTACGCTTCTATCGAGCTTTGAACCGTCCGGCTCTGTTTCTCTGATCGGGAACTTTGGTGGTTTCCAATTCATATCTGGTTGGCATTCTTGTGGAGAAAAGATTTTCGAAGCACATACTGATGGTATAACCCAGCTTATTTGGCACTTCTGCTAGAGATAATATTTGTGTGTGTCCTAACCGTAGTTCTTGCAAAGTTTGAGCTACAGTCAATTTGATTGCGTTGCAGTCCGCTTATAATTTCCCGTATAGGGCCAGAGGAAGCATGTTGAGAAGAGTTCGCAGTGCTTTTAAGGGAGTTGATGGTAGTGTCTTGGTTACCAGGACCGTTGAACTCTCTCTCTAGTTTGCTACCGCAAGTAATCTTGTCAAGTGCTGAGTAGAATTTGTCTAACTACCGACGTATTAGTTCAGCGCGAGATACCCGTCTTAGGCCTCCTCTTTTTCCTATCGCGATTTTGCACGCATAAAGTGCAGTTATAGATTTCTTTGATCTTTCTGCCGAGTTCCCACTTCAGTTGGGTTTGATATCTAACACTATACCGAAATATTTGACTTCGGTATAGAGTCCCTTTAGTTTAGGTGGCTTAAAAGGGGGCGATTGGTAACTTTTGGTGTATAGAAGCATTTCGGTTTTATCTCGGTTGACATCCAATTCGCTTTTAAGATGATTTGCACAAATGAAATACTATTGCTTCCTGGAAATAATCCAGAGAACTGAAACTACATTAGATTCAATAAATAATTCATTCTTTACCATTTTACCGCTTCGCTTCGCATGTTTATCATGCTGTTGATTAGCCACATACCATTTGGAGTATTTATTCTGGAAAGTATTTTTAAAAATTTTAGTTTTTATTCTTCATACCTTGAGGGACTGTTGACCAGCAACTGCCTTTCTTACTTCATTTTTTAACCGCCAAAATATGTGCGTAACTAAATCAAAAGCATTATTTATCACAATTTATTACATAAATAACAACAACAAAAAAGCTTTTATTACCTCAAAACTCTCCCATCCACACCGAAATCACATAGGAACATAACGCTTAATAAACTGAAGTGGAAAACACTTTTGAGTAGTAATGCAGTGCATATAATTCAATTTGTCAAGTCATAACTAAGAGATATGTCTCTACAAAAATAAAAATAAAATAAAATAAAAATAAAAACAGAAGGGGCGGAAAGTTGATTTTTATTTTATTTTACAAAGAGCATCCCCTCCAACACGCACTTACAGCGGAAAATTTTTACAAGTGTAAACTTTGCTTCTTCACAGACAAACACACATACAAATTTACATTTCTTTACCGAAAAAAGGAAGCTCACTTCAAATGGGCATTTCTCTACGCAGAATTGAAAAAAAAAGATATGTTCAACTTTAAAAGCATAACAACAAGCAAAAACACTTTATCAGCGCCAACGTGGTGCATATTCCAAACTCGCCCTTAGCACATGTATGCATATCCGCCCACCAAGCGAAAGTATTTTTTTTTCTTGTGAACAAAATATTATTTGCCGAGGGCATTGTACCGTGCGATAGCCTGCAAAATGTCTCTTCCTTCTATTTTTTTTTTGGAAATTTTTTCTCATATTTCCTTCTTCGTTTTTTTTTTTGTACTTTTCTACTTGTGCGTGTTAAATTTTTATGTAAAAATTAACTTCATTTTTGGCCGTTTGCTTTTTGTTTTCCTGGCATTATTTTTTAATAAGCACAACAACGCTGCGACAGCGTTGGCACAGCGTCAGCTGTGACTGGCAGGCGTGTGCACGTTTGTAGCGGCGCGAAATATGTCTTGCTTAAGTGCGACCAAAGTGGGAACACATACTTGTACAAATGTTTGCATGTTCATAATAAACATACGAAACCAAAAAAGAAAAAAAAAAAATAATCGTCGGCGCTTTGCTGGCAGGCAGTCGGTTTTTAGAGCACCCCCGTAAAGAGACTTTATGCGTGAAAATATTTTTGGTTTTTTGTTGAGCGCTTTTTTATACCTAAAATGAGATTTGGCTTTTACTTGAGAGATGAAAACTCATGCAATGTTGTGTTTAAATTAATTTAATTAAATTTAGGCAAAGTAGCTGTCAGTTAGGGGAAAGATAGGCAGTTTAAATGTATGTAATAAAAAATTGTTTCGAAGCGGCAGATTTGTTTTTGATATAGAAAATATTTTTTTTTTCTTTAGTTAAAAAATAATTGTTTGCATAGGTAAAAAAGAAAATTTTAAACTAAAAATAAAAACTGCTTTAGGCACAAAAATTTTCGATTTGGTTCAGTTAAAGACAAATCGGTTAAAAATTTCCTCACATAAAAATGTAAAGCTTCAAGGTTTTTTTTTTGTAGTAAATTTGTTGGCCAAAATCCATACGTCTATCATCAATTTATTTTATTATAACTTACTTATTTGATTTCGTTTTTTTAATTAACTTTAATCTTTTTATTTTAATTATATATAATTTTTTTTTTATTTTGTTTAGTCTTATTTGATTTTATTTTAGTTTATTAAAGCTGATTTTAAATTATTTATTTTTTTATGTTTCTTATTTTATTTTAATTTATTTCTATTTTTTTAATTTTATTT